AATTAATCCCTTGTCTATTACATTATTTGTAGATATTTCCTCCTAGTCCATAGGTTGTCTTTTTGTTGTGTTGATGGTCTCTTTCACTGTGCCAAAGCTTTAACTTTTAATTAGGTCCTGTTTGGTTACATTTGCTGTTATTTCCAGTACTGAAAGAGACAGATCCAGAAAAATGTTGCATTTTATGTCAGAGTGTTCTGCCTGTATTTTCCCCTAGGAATTTTATAATATCCAGTCTTATATTTTAGGTCTTTAATATATTTTGAGTTTATTTGTGTATGTGGTGGTAGTGGATGTTCTGATTTCATTCTTTCACATGTAGCTGTCCAGTTTTCCAGCTGCACTTACTGAAGAAACTGTCTTTTCTTCATGGTATATTCTTGTCTCCTCTGTAGTAGGTTACTTGACCATGAGTGTGGTTTCTCATTGATCTGTGTGTCTGTTTTGGTGTCAGTCCTGTATTGCTTTGGTGACTGTGGCATGTAGTACAGTCTAGAGGCAAGGACTGTGGTTCCTCCAGCTCTGTTCTGTCTCACGGTTGTTAAAATGCTTGTTTTAGTTCTGTGAAAAATGCCATTGGTAATTTAGTGGGAATTGGATTGAATCTGTAGATTGTCTTGGGTAATGTAGACATTTTATCTATACTGATTCATCCAATCCAAGAACACAGTATATCATTATCATTCTTTTCTGTTGTCTTCGGTTTCTTTCATCAATGTCTTACAGTTTTTGGAATACAAGGGTTTTGCCTCCTTATTAGTGAGATTGTTTCCCTAATTTCTCTTTCTGGTATTTTGTTGTTAGTCTATAGAAATGCAACAGATTACTGTACACTAATTTTGTATCCAGCAATTTAAGGGAATTTGTTGATGAGCTTTATTAGTTTAGTATCACTGATTGATGTGTAGATGTTGAAAACTCATCACACTGCTGGGATAAAACCCACTTGATCATGGTGTATGGTCCTTTTGATGTATTGTTGGAATCAGTTTCTTAGTATTTTGATGAGGATGTTTGCATCTATGTCCGTCACTGATACTGGCCTGTAATTTTCTTTTTTTGTGATACCTTTTTCTGGTTTTCCAACAGGGTGACCTCATTGAATGAGTTAGTAAGTGTTCTTTCCTCTGTGACTTTTGGGAATAGTTTCAGAAGAATAAGCATTAAATCTTGGAAATAATTGGTAGAATTCACCTGTGAAGCCATCTAGTCCTGGAGTTTAGTTTATTGGCAGTTTTCGAATTTCTGATTCAGTTTTAGTGCTGAATAAACAGGTAATTGATCTGTTCATATTTTCTAGTTCTTCCTAGTTCAGTCTTGGAAGATTGTACCTTTCTTAAAATTTGTCCATTTCTTCTCAGTTGTCCATTTTATTGGCATATAGTTGCTCAGAGTAGTCTCTTATGATCCTTTGATTTTCTGTGGTGTCTGTTGTAACTTCTTTTTCATTTCTGATTTTATTGATGTGAGCCCTCTTCGTTTTTTTCTTGATGAGTCTGACTAAAGGTTTATCAAGTTTGTTTATCTTTTCAAAGAACCCGCTTTCAGTTTCCGTGATCTTTGTCTTTATTTCACTGACTTCTGCTCTGATCTTTATTTTTTCTTTCCTCCTACTAACTTTGGATTTTGTTTGTTGTTCTTTCTCCAGTTGCTTTAGATGTAAGGTGGTTTGAGATTTTTCTTCTTCCCAAAGGAAATCTGTCTCACTGTCAACTTTCCTTTTAGAACTGCTTTTGCTGTGTCTCATCGCTTTTGGATCACTGTTGGTTTTCATTTGTCTCTAGGTATTCTTTGTTTCCTCTTTGGTTTCCCCAGTGATGCATTGATTGTTTAGCTTCCATGCGTTTGTGTTTTTTGCGGTTTTTTCCAGTAGTTGATTTCTAACCTTGTATTGTTGTGGTCAGAAAAGATTCTTGATATGAGTTCAGTTTTCTTCAATTTACCAAAGCTGGCTTTGTGGCACAGCATGTGATCTGTCCTAGAGAATGTTCCACGTGCATTTGAGAAGAATGTGTGTTCTGCTGCTTTTGGATGGAACACTCTACATAAATATCAGTTGAGTCAATCTAGTCTAATGTGTCATTTAAGACTTACGTTTCCTTATTGATTTTTCTGTCTGAATAATCTGTCCATGGATGTAAGTGGAGTGTTAAAAGTCTCCAACTATTGTGTTACTGTCATTTACTCCTGTTATATGTGTTAACATTTGCCTTATATGTTGAGGTGTTTCTCTGTTGGGTGCATATATATTTACAATTGTTATATCTTCTTGGATTGATCCTTTCATTATTATGTAGTGTCTTTCTTTGTCTCTTATAACAGTCTTTATTTAAAGTGTATGTTGTCTGATATAACTGTTGCAACTGTGGCTTTCATTTGATTTCCATTTGTGTGGAATACCTTTCTCCATTCCCCACACTTTCTGTCTATATGTATGTTTAGATCTGAAGGGTTTCCCTGGTAGGCAGCAACTATACACGTTTTGTTTTTGTATCCATTTAGCCAGTCTTTTTTGGTTGGAGCATTTAGTCTGTTTTCTCTTAATTATTGATATCTGTGTTCCTACTGCCATTTTGTTCATTATTTTGGGTTCATCTTTGTAGGCCTTCTTTCATTCTCTTGTGATTTGATGAGTATCTTTGGTGTTAAGTTTGGATTCCTTTTTCTTTTTTGTATGAATGTCTGTTAATAGATTTCTGTTTTGCAGTTACCATGAGGTGTTTATGGAGGAGCCAGTATGTATGTGTACTTGTTTTAAGTTGATGATCTCTTAATTTTAAATGCACTTTAGATACTTTGCAGCTTTACTTTCCTCCTTTCATAGTTACTGTTTTGATACTATATTTTACATCTGATTTGTTTCATATATCCTTTAAACTGCCTATTATGAATACAGATGATTTTACTGTTCTTGTCTTTAAACTTCCCTGCTAGCTTGGTCTACAAATGACTTCCTGCCTTTACTGCATGTTTGCCTTCACCAGTGAGCTTTTCTATGTCATAGTTTTCTTATTTCTAGTTGTGGCCTTTTCTTTTCCACCTATAGAAGTTTCTTTAGCATTTGTTGTAACGCTGGTGGTACTGAGTTCTTCCAGCTTTTTAAAAAAAATCTTTAAAGCTTTTGATTTCCTCATCAAAGCTGAATGAGAGCCTTGCTGGGTAGTGTGTTCTTGGTTTTAAGTTTTTCTCTGTCAACAGTGTGAGTATATCATGTTGCTCCCTTCTGACCTAAAGAGTTTTTGTTAAAAAATCAGCCAGTAGCCTTATGGAAGTTCCCGTGTATGTTTTATACGTACAAGTATTTTCTGTTTATCTTCAGTTTTCGTCATTTTGATTACAATATGTTGTATATTTCTCTGTGAGGTAATCCTATATGGAGCTTTCTTCACTTCCTAGACTTTGGTGACTGTTTGCTTCCCTAGGTTAGGGAAATTTTCAGCTATTATCTGTTTAGATATTTTCTCAGGCGCGTTCTCTCTCTCTTACCCTTCTAGGGTATAATGTGAATATTACACCTTTAATGTTGTCCCAGAAGTCTCTTAAACGATCCTCATTGCTTTTCATTCTTTTTTCTGTTTGGCAGCAGTGATTTCCACTATTTTGTCAGAACTAATCCATTCTTCTGCCTCATTGTTAAAAAAACTTCTAATTTTTTTGTTAAGTGAAGTAATTTCTGGAGACAAATTCATAGTCTTTCTATTTGCATCTTTGTTTTTGAATTACTGAAACATTTGATTTCTCTGAAACTTTTTTGGCCCTAGTTGATGTCTTTCTTTTTAATAATTTTTAGTGTTTTCCTTCATTAAAAAGTTTACTGTAGAAAACTTGATAATTACAAAAAGCACAGGTAAAATCAAGTAATAATCACCTATAATACTCCTACTAGGAAATACTATTTTGGAACATCTTCTACACTTACATGAATATGTGCCTGTGATGGTTTTAATGAAATTGAAATCATATGCAGTTTTATATGTAATTATGCTCTTTTATATGTAATACTTTTTGATAAGTTTTTTATACTATTAAATATGCTTTTATAATACTTATCTTTAATGGCAGCTTAATTATCTTGTGGTTTAATGAGTGAGTTATACGATACTGTTCTAAATAAACACTCTATACATAATCATTTAATCTTTATAACAGTCTTACCAGGTTTCTGCTGTTATCCTCATTTTACAAGGAGAGAAACTGTAGTGTGGTGAGGTTGAAGGGCTTACCTAGATACATGTATACATACCTAGCAAGTGGCAGAGCCAAGATTTTGAACTCAGGGAGCTCAGAGTGTGTTCTTTTATCTTTACTATAGTATATGAATTCTGTCATAGAGTATAATATCTTTTATTTAACCAATCCCCTCTAAATATCTTTGTTGGAAATTTAGATTTACTTTTTTTAAATTAAAACTAAATGTTCAACGAAAGTGAAATTCTTCTAAATGAATCTTTTCATATCTTGTGTTTTTAATCTCAGGCATGCCTCCGGGATCATAAATACATAAACTGTATATTGGTTGAAGATTTAAGCTTTCTAAAGCCTTTTATATCGCATTCTTTTTAGGTGTGTCAGTGTACTTGTCAGTACAGTTGACCATTGAACAACATGAGTTTGAACTAAGCGGTTCTACTTATATCTTCACATGTGGCTCAGTGGTGAAGAATCTGCCTGCTGATGCAGGAGATGCAGGTTTGATCCCTGGGTCGGAAGGATCTCTGGTTAAGGAAATGGCAACCCGCTATAGTATTCTGGCCTGGAAAATCCCATGGAGTCTAGTGGGTCCATGGAGTTGCAAAGAGTCAGACGACTTGGCAACTGAGCAACAAGTCTACTTATACATGGATTGTTTTCGGTAAATACCTACCAGAATAATAGATAATCCATTGTAGGTTGAATCTGTGGATGCATAAGTTATAGGTGGATTTTCAACTGTATGGACATGATGCTCTGAGTTCCTGTTTTGACCAGGGTCAACTGTATTCTTTTTTTCTTCTTTACAGTTGACATTCTGCTAAAGGCGGTGGGAGACACTCCTATAATGAAAACAAAGAAATGGGCTGTAGAGCGAACCCGAACCATCCAAGGACTCATTGACTTCATCAAAAAGTTCCTTAAACTTGTGGCTTCAGAACAGTTGGTATGAACCAATGGTGGTCATTTCCCTACAGAAATTCACAGAGCATTCATCTCTCAGTATCTGGGGGGGCAGGGGGGATTGACTCCAGGACCATCTTCTGTAGATGCTCAGGTTCCTTATATAAAATGGCATATTTGCATATAATCTGTGCATATTCTCCCATATACTTTGAATCACTTTTAGATCCCTTATGATAGCTTATACTATGTAAATAGTTGCCAGTACCCAACAAATTAAAGTTTTGCTTTTTGGAACTTTCTGGAATTTTTCTCTCCAAATGTTTAACTGGGTGAATCTGAGAGAGCATTCAGAGCCCATGGATTCAGAGGGGGAACTATAGTTCCTAGGCGACAATGAATAACTTTTATATAGAAATACATATGGAGCCACATATGTTACTTAAGTAATGTCCTTTTTATTTCTTTTGTTAGTGGAATTTCTGTGCTTTATTGAAGGATTCTCTGGTGAACCCTGAAATGAAATGAGTTTTGTTAGCCTACTGTATTGGTTTTCCTCAAAAAGTCACTGTATGCCCATGCAGAAAGATCTATCCTAGAATATTGGTACAGAAAGTTTGGGAGTTTTCTTTGTTCTGGTATCAATATTGCGTCCTTCGCATTCTTCTCAAGGTAAGCAGTATACCTTTGCCATGTGCTGTGGAAGAACTAAGAGATGTACCGTTCTTTCTTCATGAGTTTGAACTGCAGAAATCCGCTTATACATGGCCCTTAAACAACAGGACTTTGACCTGCAGAAATCCACGTACACGTGGATTTTTTTCAAATACATAGTGTACCACTACACGACCAACTGTTGGTTGAATCTGCCTTGTATGCGTAGGTTTTTGACTGCTCAGAGGGTAGGCGTCCCAACCCCCTTGCTTCTGAGGGTCAGTTGTGCTCATTCATACTGTGGCACACGTTAAACGTTTCATGCCAGATTGTTAGCGTTGACATTTTAAACGCCACTGGTTTTGAATTTGGTATTTGACCACAGAAACTTAAATGTCTACATGGATTTGACTTTTTGTCACATGTATTAATATATAAAATGCCTTTATCTTCAGATCACAGTCTTGGTCCGTGTTAACACATAATGTATAAGTGGATGGGTAATTGAAGAGTCATTAAGTATTTTTTGAATACAAGTATGTATACGGATTGGGGACGGACATAGTTGCCTGTGAACACCGGAGTGAGAACTGGCAAAATGAATGAAGTGATGATTAAGTGAGGTTTGTTGGAATTTATCTCTTTTTGTCAAAGAAGAAGAAGAAACTACTCTGATCTAAGATTTTGGTGGTAATTGGTTTTCACGGAAGTGTTATGTCATGAATACAAAAGTTAAGTGCAAAATAGATTAATCACTACAAGTTACTTGAGATAAGGATAGCATAAAGCCAAGGATTCCTCCAGAGGAAGTTGCAAGGGGAAAATGTTGGAGATTTTTGAGTTTTACAGGTGAACATCTCCATTTGTGATCACTTGTAGTAAGAAAATCATGTTTTCTAAAGGGTGCCATAAAGAATTTAATTAAATTTCAGAGATGGGCAAGAAGATTATAGTGTCATCCACTTGCATATGGTAGCTAAAACCTGAGGAACAGAGGACCTTGCCTGGAGGCCAAGTCTAAATGGAATAGTTCGGGGGATAAGGACATACACTTAAGAGATTACTAAGGGTAGAGCATGAAGAGTTGGAGAGATAGGTAGCTAGAGGAGAACCAAGTAATTAAAGCATTACTTTTAGAAATTTGTAGATAGAAGAAAAAATGAAATAGTGCTTTGTTCTATGTTAATGTTAGAATTTTGACAGTTTATATTGCCTATATTCAGTAATCTGAAAGGACTTGGTTGATGTCAACATGTATTTGGTTGAACCATGTAAACTTTTCATCCATGAATTGTTTTGACCAAAAAAAGCCCCAGCAATTTTGTACGGTCCAATTTTAAACTTCTGTAGTGAAAATGACTCTCTCTTCCCTTTTAGGAAATGAAAGCATAAAAGCTGCCTTTTACCCCTTTTCTAGGTTAAGCTGGAACTTAAGCCCCCTGGTTAAGAGTCAGGGGGCTGCTCTTGTTCAATGCTGCTGTCTCTTGTCTGCGACCCCATGGACTGCAGGGTGCCATGCTTCCCTGTCCCTCACTGTCCGCTGGAGCTTGCTCAAATGCATGTCCACTGAGTCAGTGACACTATCCAACCATCTCATCCTCTGTCGCCCCCTTCTGCTGCCCTCAGTCTTTCCCAGCATCAGGGTCTTTTCCAGTAAGTCAGCTGTTCATATCAGGTGGCCAAAATACTGGAGCTTCAGCTTCAGCATCAGTCGTCCCAGTGAATATTCAGGACTGATTTCCTTTAGGACTGACTGGTTTGATCTCCTTGCCATCCAGGGACTCTCAAGAGTCTTCTTCAGCACCACAGTTTGAAAGCATCAAATCCTTTGGCTCTCAGCCTTCTTTATGGTCCAACTCTCACATCCATTCATGGCTGCTGGAAAAACTATAGCTTTGACTATATGGACCTTTGTTGGCAAAGTGATGTCTTACTTTTTTAATATGCTGTCTAGGTTTGTCATAGCTTTTTTTCAAAGGAGCAAATGTCTTTTAATTTCATGGCTGCAGTCACCATCTGGACCCTACATCATTTTCGCAAAATAAATGTCAGAAGAAAAAGTAATGCTGGGGATTCTGGGAAGATAGCATTAGTGTCGGAAGGCATGGATTCCCACTAAAACAGTCAACTAGAAAGTGAAACCAAATCCCCATAATCAGTATACTTAAGACTTAGATGACAGTACCCTCGTGAACCCTAAGATTCAAGCTGGTAGAAATTCCCAACAACTACAGGATCTGTGTCATACTAGCAGATGTGCTGCCAAGATGTGCAAGCAACCTATCAATAGTAAGTGGACAGAAGATGTGTATACACACACACAACACAGTGAAATACTTGTTCAGTCGCCAAGTTGTGTCCAACTCTTCACAACGCCATGGACTGCAACACGCCAGGCTTCTCTGTTCCTTACCATCTCCCTGAGTTTGCCCAAGTTCATATCCATTGCATCAGTGATGCCATCCAACCATCTCATCTTCTGTTATCCTCTTCTCCTCCTGCTTTCACTCTTTACCAGCATCAGGGCCTGATGAGTCAGTTGTTCACATCAGGTGGCCAAAGTTTTGGAGCTTCAGCATCAGTCCTTGTCAAAAATGGAAAAGGTGTATACAGTCAGCAAAAAGAAAACCTGAAGTGACTATAGCTCAGATCATCAGCTTCTCCTAGCAAAATTCAGGCTTAACCTAACGAAAGCAGGGAAAACCAGTAGGCCAGCCAGGTATGACTTAAATCTCCTGTAAATGTACAGTGGAAGTAATGAATCGATTCAAGGGATTAGATCTAGTAAACAGTGCCTGAAGAACTATGGGCAGAGGTCCATAATAGTTTATAGGAGGCAGCAAACAAAACCATCCCAAAGAAAAAGAAAGAAGGTAAAATTGTTGTCTACTGCTGCTGCTGCTAAGTCGCTTCAGTTGTGTCCAACTCTGTGCAACCCCATAGACAGCAGCCCACCAGGCTCCCCCATCCCTGGGATTCTCCAGGCAAGAACACTGGAGTGGGTTGCCTTTCCTTCTCCAGTGCATGAAAGTGAAAAGTGAAAGTGAAGTCGCTCAGTCGTATCCAACTCTTAGCGACCCAATAGACTGCAGCCTACCAAGCTCCTCTGTCTGTGGGATTTTCCAGGGAAGAGTACTGGAGTGGGTTGCCATTGCTTTCTCCAAATTGTTGTCTAAGGAAACTTTATAAAGAACTGAATGGAATGCTACTGAGCCATTAAAATGAAAGAAAATTTGCCATTTGCAGCAACATGGATGGACTTGAAGGGCATTGTGCTACATGAAATAAGTCAGAGAAAGACAAATAACTGTATGATATCACCTATTCATGGAAACCAAAAAATACAAAAAAACTAGTGAATATAACAAAAAAGAAGCAGGCTTAACAGATACAGAGAACAAACTAATGGTTTCCAGTGGTGGGAGTAGGGTGCAACATAGGGCTGGAGAAGTGGGATGTACAGACTGTTGGATGCAAGATAGGATGAAGGGTGTATTGTACAACACGGGGAACATAGCCTCTATTTTGTAATAATTGTAAATAGATAGTAACCCTTAAGAATTGTATTAAAAAAATTTTTTTTAACTTAAAAAAAGAACTTCAGCCTGGAGTGTTTGGTCACTCAGGCTCTGGGATGTGTCTTGAGGAGAGGTGGAATGAAATGTTGAAAGAATTTGAGGGACTTCCCGGGTGGTCCAGCAGTTAAGAATCTGCCTTGCAGTGCAGGGAACACGGGTTAGACCCCTGGTTGGGGACCTGGGTCCTGCATGCCATGGAGCAGCTAAGCCTGTGTGATGCAGCTGCTGAGCTTGCGTGCCACAACTAGAGAGTTCTGTGCGCCACAGTGAGGAGAAGGAGACGACAGTCAGTACTGAGGATGAACACGGGAGAGTAATCAGAGAGAACAGGAGTCCCTGAGGAAGAAAAGCAGAGCAAAGGAACAAGGCAAATACTTGGAACTGTAATTCAAGAGAAATTGCTTATAAACAGATTTGAAACTACATACTGAAAAACCTTACCAAGACCCTGAGAATACTAACCCAGTGCAGCCATCACCAAGACACATTCCAGTAAGATTACTGGATGTGAAATGAAAAATCCTTTGGACATCTAAGGAGAAAAGGTCATGGCTTAGGATATTAGGTTACCTCTAAATTTAGCTAGCAGAGATACAAAGAAAGTGTGAGATAATGGATTTTTTATACTATTAATACAAAACTGGCTTTTAAGGCAGCAGCTATTAGCAGTGTGCAAGAACTCAAGAGTATGCTGTTCCCATGAACCCTTTCTACATAATCTAGTCAGGAGGTTATAACAACCAAAATGACTAAAGAGACATTTATATGAATACTGGTGATTTAAAAGCAAATCATTAGTCTTTAAAATTTTATCCTCCCACGTTCTAGCATTTAGTTAAAGATTGCATTTTGAAATTTTTATCTCCATGGATATCCCATATAAACTAGCTTAATTGCTTTTTTATATTAAAATCAACTTTCAGTTGCTAACTCGTGCTACAGAGTGACATAGGTTTCTTACAGTTCTCTACTGTATCTGCTGTATTGTCCGTTCGACACTTAAAACATCTTTTGTCGCTTTTGCCTACAGAGTCCTAATTATTACTCTCTTCACCTAGTTAAGTCCAAATTTAGTTCTCAACTTTTTTCTTCCAGAAAGTCTTTCCTAACCAAGCAGCTCAGCTAAACTAATGCCACATCTTTGTGCTACACCCCTTCTCAGTGCATCTTTCCCAAGTATATTCTTATCTGAGTATGTTTGCTTATTGAAGGTAGGAATCACAATCCTCATTTTTGTTCCACACCTTGTGCATTTCCTAGCACGTTATAGACACTCAGGGTTTGTCTGCTGAAATAAACTAAATTGTCATCCAGAGTCCCTTCCCTAATTTAAAGTGTACCAAAAAGTAATAAAATCTGGGTTCACTCATAGTTGAACTGTCAGGAACTAAACACAAATTATTATGTCTCTATCATAGGAAATTCACGTTAAAATGCACACCGATTTCTGAAATTATGTTAGAGCCTTATTCAGTCTTCATAATGAATTTTTATTTATGCATGAGTTATTTTAAATAAATAAGTATAACTTATAAGTCTGTTGAATACATATACCAAGCACTTATATTTGATGTGTACAATCTCATTTTATTGTTCCCAGCAGCTTCAAGAAGTATAGGTCCTGTTGTTTTCCGTATTTACAAGCAGGCGCACAGTTTGAAAAAAGTTACTTGGATTTAGAGCCAGAATTCAAACCTGGATCTCAGTAGACCCTCCTCTTCCTTGTGCTTAGTCTCTCAGTCGAGTCTGACTCTTTGCGAACCCAGGACTGTCGCCCGCCGGGTTCCTGTGTCCATGGGGTCTCCAGGCCAGAATACTGGAGTGGGCTGCCATGCCCTCCTCCAGGGGGTCTTCCCAACCCAGAGACCACACCCACTGCGCGTGGATTCTTCACCAGCCGAGCCACCCAGGGAAGCCCGAGCATACTGGCGTGGGCAGCCTCTCCCTCCTCCCGGGGAGTGCCTGGCCCAGGAGTCAGGCCGGGGTCTCATTGCACCAGGTTCTTTACCAGCCGAGCCACCCAGGGAAGCCCGGGCATACTGGCGTGGGCAGCCTCTCCCTCCTCCCGGGGAGTGCCTGGCCCAGGAGTCAGGCCGGGGTCTCATTGCACCAGGTTCTTTACCAGCCCAGCTACCCAGGAAGCCCTCTCCCCCTTACTTAGGAAGTACTGTTACCACTCTGTATTGTCTGAGGGAGAAATGTATGTGATATTTATTCTTGTTCTAGCTGGTATCCCAAGTAGTATCTAGTAACCAACTATGTGTGTGTGAATATATGTATATTTAAGGACTAAAAGATTAATACCACAGTTAGAACCACTGGGATTCAAGCTATCATTAAGTGATAGGATTGAAAAGAGTTAGATGACTCATTTGTATAGAATTTGTAAAATAAATTCTGTTTCCCAATAAAACAAACTGAAACCACAAATTTTCTCTATAGCTATATACTATGAGCATATTTCTTTCATATTTCTTCATAGAATATGCTCATATGTGAAACCCAGGAAATTTTAGTCTTAGAATTTAATATAGACAAAGGAAAATTGACTGTTAACTGTCAGTGTTTTGTTTTCTAAAAAGGAAACTATGAGGTCACCTAGACACTGTGATCTTTTGCTTCAGCATCTTAAGGAATTTTTTTAAGTACTAAAATGTTATAGTGAAACAGACTAGACTGAAACATTTAACAATGAATCCTTTAAGGAACACCAAGATTGTAAGGATGTTAGGTTTCAATTTTGTTACATTTTTTTCTGTGTCATTTGGCAGCAAGTGACTTTAACTGATGCAATGGTTAAGAATCCTCCTACCAATGCCGGAGATACAAAATATGCAGGTTCGCTCCCTGTATCGGGAAGATCCATTGGAGTAGAAAATGGCAACTCACTCCAGTATTCTTGCCTGGAAAATTCCATGGGCAGGGGAACTTGGCAGGCTACAGTCCATGGGGTCCCAAAGAATCAGACACAATTGGTACGCAGCACACAATTAGATGTTTTGATTTGGGGCTGTGTGTGTAAAACTTTGTTAAGAGAAACTGTCTTTAATTATGAATAAATGAGAATATTGGTACTTTTTACAAATGTAATTTCTTGAATAAGTCTTTAAAAGTTATTGGTGAAAACAAAAGTTTCTTACTTACAAAAAGCTGGAAACAAAAATTCTGTTACTCCTCCAGAGGGAAAACAGATTGTTCCGAAAGATCTTATTAATTACTAATTTATGAGAATTAGAAAGAAGGAGTTTAGGGACACTTTGTTCACTTCTGAAGACAAAGAATTTGAGGTAGCTGACTGGGAACCAGAAAAATGCAGATTAATCTGAATACCTTTAAAAATGAATCACCATAAATGTTCTTTCTTGCAGTTTATTTATGTGAATCAGTCCTTTGCCCCCTCCCCAGACCAGGAAGTTGGGACCCTCTATGAGGTAAAACATTCCTGTTTTATTTTCTTCATAGAATATGCTCATCTGTGTATAGTGTTATCATTAATTCACATCATTTAAGAGATGATAAGCCATTCATAATTGTCTATCAGAAAAGATTACTTTGTTGTGTCTCTTAACACCTTGAATATAGTGTATCTCAATAAATGACACCGTGACTGAATGAATAATACAAATAGAAGATGACTGAAATAGGACCAAAAAATGAGATGTCCTTTTTACCTACAGGGAGTGTCCTCTACGTTGTTTATATAGTCAGTAATCCAGATCTCCCTCCAAGAAATTGAAAAGACTGTATAAGAATGACTTTGTTTAGCATCTTTAACATTTATGATTACTAGTATTTGTCCAATAGCAGCTTGCATCTGTTGAAGAAAATAGCCATTATAGATACATGTGCAAGGATATTGATGATACACATAACAATTCTTTCTTAGTTTCATCTAAAAATAACAAAAATTGAGTTTGATTTATTGCCTTTTTTCCTTTCTGTAGTGTTTTGGCAGTGATGGCAAACTGGTCCTGCATTACTGCAGATCTCAAGCATGGGGGTGAGCTACAGAGGAAGAGATCTTGCTGCCTTAAAGGGAGTCTTCACAAAGGAAACGCTCTGCAGAGTTTTGATTGCAAGAGACTTGTGGGTGTGATCTGTTCAGCATGTATCTACTGTGACCCATGTTTATTCTTTAAAATATCCACAGAATGGATGGACTTTAAAAATGTGATTTGTATTAATACACAAATCATCATAAAAGATTGACATTAGTATATACCCATTACTACAATTATTTCTTCAGAGGTATCTTCAAGGTATTGAAAAGGAGACTAATAAAAAAAAATAATTTAATTAAAAAAGAAAGAAAAGGAGACTAAGATGATATAAAGCTGCTTTTGTACTACTTCTCAAAATAACTGAAATTGTGCACTCTACTGATTCCCGCCCCCAAAGTCAGTTTACTAAAAGATTCTTTGGGTGGGGGGCATATTCAGGGGAGTTCAATTTGTTTGTGGCAGTGATAGGCCTTTTCTCATTTACATTTCTGTCAACAGTGTTATCTTGTGAAACAGATTTGCATTGACCTCCTGGCTTTATTACCTTAGATAGTCAGTAGAGGGCAACCCAGCTGCCAGAAAGAGTTAAGCAGTTCTGTCCTCCATCTTCACCGGAAGATAACAGCTATTCCCTGCTGGTTTCTAGCAAACATCTAGCAAGACAGCACACGTGTTGGCACACTGGATTACTGCTTTAGAGAGGATCTGTGGTTTTGGTTTGTTTTATTGGGAAACAAGTGATTTTACAAATTCTAGACAAATGAGTCTTTGAACTCTTTCAATCCTATCATTTAACAATTCTTGAGTCCCAGTGGTTATAACTGTGGGTATTAATCTCTCTTTTATTTCTATAGTGTCAGAAACACTCAGTGAGTAAGCTTGGCAGCATCTTTCAGTTTTTTATAATGTATTTTTCAACTTGAAAATGCTCAAAGAATGGTTGGAAAATAGCTAGATTTTATGCGATGAGTAAAAGTACTATTTTTTTTTTTACCGATGCTATTAAACTGATAATTGCTTTAATAAGATTTAACTTTTTTCTTCATTCTGTATATTTGTGATGCAGCTTTTTTTATAAAACATTCTAATAAATTGAATGGAATGTTCAAACAAGATCTAAGGTGTGTGCAAGAAATCTAAGTGCTTATTTTCAAAGGTAATGAGAATTGTATGATTTTGTCAAAGAATTTTTGAGCTACACTTATGTCGTTTGAGTCCCAGAATGTACTTTATGGTTAATGAGCTGCCATACATTATCATTAGGGAATGCCAAGGAACAATTCAGTTTAAGGTGATGAAACCATGTTCAGTTCTCATTTTCTGCTTGAGAACAAATTTCTAAGCCCCCTTATAATGATGTCCCTGTTTAATAAACTAATGCAACCAGTATTCAGCCCTGAAATAATATAGGTTGAATTGTGAAATTTATTTTGTAAGGTGAGGTAAGAAATCAGTGTATATGTTGAAAGTTGGAAAGTATATTATTTTCAGATAAAATAAGTTGAATATGGTGAAGATCTGTTGTCTGGTTTTATACTCTTACAGCTTACTGAAGGATGTAAATATATTTATCTGTATGCATTTATGTTTAACAGATAGTGAGAATGTGTTTAACCTGTGTGTATATTATGTTTGCTGCTAAGGTTTCAGAATAATAGACTGTCAACAGTCAAAACTACTTGAGTTTGAATTGTGTCATCAACTTATTCTTTTTTGATCTGAATAATCAATTTATTAAATCTGAGGTTAGCTAAATATGTACTTTGTTTTCTTCCCTCACAACCTTTAAAAATAGGGCTTTACAAGTTTTTCAAACTATATTTGCAACACTTACTTGTACGCCTAGATCCTCTAAGTTATTTGCTTATCAGAACCTAGACTGCAATTTACAAAAATATTTTTGCAGTTGTTTGAACTCTTGATTGACATGAGCTTGGGGTGTTGGGGGGGACCTGAATCCGCAGGTTATATTTTAAGTTTTCCATATTTATGAGAAAATGAGTGTCAGTATGTCATGCTTTATCTTACTGTACAGAGATTACAGTGTACGTAGTGTTAGAATATGGGGCTTCCCAGGAGGTGCAGTGGTAAAGAAAGCTGTCAATGCAGGAGATGCTGAGACGCGAGTTCAGGAAGGTCCCCTGGAGAGAGGAATGACAACTCACTCCAGAAGTCTTGCCTGGAGAATACCCTGGACCAGGGAGCCTGCTGGGCTGCAGTGGGGGTCGCAAGGATTGGGACACTCTTAGACACCTGAGCACATACAGCACACGGTGTCACGGCGCTTCGCTTTCCCCGTGAAGCTGCCTGTGCTGAGGACTGCACAGTGAGCTCTCCGTAGTTAGGGCGTGAGGTAAGTATAAAAAAGTTTATCTGGAATCAAAACAAGATGGAGTCGTTTCTGGAATAGCCAGTTTTTTGTTTTTTGGATATTTTTTTGAGGCGGGGTTGGGGGGGGGGTAGTTTTAACCCTGAAGGGACTTTTAATATTATCCTGATAAGATTAGAAAACTCAGAAGTGCAGACCAAGCTTAGATCACATAGCATTAGATTACACAACCGGTTTAGTTGTGAGCAACCCACAGTGGGAAAGTGCAGTGTTCAGGGGTATAATAATGAAAACCACCTTTTGTGCAGCTTCTGCTTCATTCTCCAAGGATTATAATATAGTGCAATATGGCTTACTAAGGCATAAGGGAATTCAGCTACAGACCACATAATGAAAGGAAAATATTCAGAAAACAGTACAGCAGGTTTAGTTTTACAAATAACTTTTTCCTTCAAAATTGTTCAGCCTACACTAGATTATTCGCTATTCCCTGAACTTGCATTGTGTTTGTTTTCTGTTTCCTACACAGCCCCTTCAAGTCTTACTTCTCCGCCTAATTCATTTTTTATCTTAAAGATTACCTGAATCTCAGGAGGAGGAGATGCTCTCATAAGAACACAGCGAACTACCACGCTTACAGCAGTTACCGCACTTACTACCTTACAAGCATGTGGAACACCATTTCATCATTGTAATATCCCTAAAAATGGGGTGTTTTGGTGGCTTTTATTTGATACCCACTATGTAATACTTAGTACATTGCCTTACACATAATCAGTAATTCATTATATATTGACTTTATGAAATTAAGTATGGTTTGCAAAATGATTTAACTTAAAGCAACAAGTAAAGATTTAATTTTTTATGGCAGAAGATAAAAATGCAACATACAACAGTTTTGATGTCAAATAATTGAGATCATTTCAGTTGATAAAAAAGACCATTGAAAATTGGGTGAAATACAGTATAATGCAGTTCCCAAGAATAAAAATATTGATGGCTAATGGAGCATGAAAAGTAATGGACATCACTAGTTATGAAAAGTACAAGTAAAAACTATGAAATGCTGATTATCACCTCTTGCATTATCAGTAGTTAAAAACAACTACCAATATTGACAACATTCTGGGGAAATAAGTCCTATCATACTCTTGGTGAATGGAATATGAATTAGTACTACATATTTAAGGGACATTTTGGCAATCTATCAAAAGCCTTGAAATTATAAATTTTCATTTGTTTATTTTGTTTATTCACCTGTAGAGTGCCTACTATGTCCTCAGCATTGGAATAAAGCATAAGGCCCCTGTTCTGGAACTTTCTAATTGGGAGGTAGATTGTCAGGTATGAATTTAAATAATTCTTGAGATTTTGGTTTTTTTAAATAATAGATACTTGATACCAAATATTAGATTTACCTCTTTTTTTTTTTTTTTCCCCCTTTTTGGTCATGCCACTCAGCTTGTGGGATCTAAGTTCCCTGATTAGGGATTGAAACTGGGCTCTCAGCAGTAAGAGGGCCACGTCCTAACCACTGGCCCACCAGAGAATTCCCTTTGTTTTCTTATCTGATATTGATGAAGGAAAGATAAAGCAGGTATGTATATGAGTATGTTTAGAATCTTGAGTTAGAGGAATCCTTATAAATCAGCTCCCATGGTTCCCTGTATGTTCTCATATGAAGCAGATATACCTGAAACTCATTGGTTATTTACAGTGACACCATATCCATTTTGAGCTGGATCTATTCTTTACAGAACTCTTCCCTACTGCCTTCCTCCCTGCCTCTTAAAACTGTCTCTTCCCAGTTCTATGTACGAAGTGTATCTTCCCCTTTTCCACCTCAATTCTCCCAAGTCCTCTAATCATGGCAAATCCATTCCTTTTGATTCTTTAACTAATTACTAATTCCTCTCTAACAACCCACTTCCAGTCTGTCAGCAAATCTTGACAACTTTACCAAAAACATGTTCAGAATTCAGCCATTTTTCATCTCTTCTCTGACACTAGCCAAGGCCACCATGATCTTTCATGTGAAATATAATAGCCAGCTAATTGGCTTCCTTTTATCTGCTCTGTAGCCAAAACCCCTAAGTTAAAAGTCCTAAGTGATCTAAAGTCCCCATTTCTACAGCTTGCTACCCACATCCGTGTTCATCTGTGTTATTCACACACTGGGCTTGCTTCCATCCCAAGGCTTTCTGCTTACCATGTCCTCCACCTGGAAACGTCCCACAGACAACCACATTTCTCATTAACATCCTTCAGTTCCTGCTCAACTATCACTTCATGAAGGAAGTGTTCCCCTGAGCTCCCTCTAAAATGACACCTCCTCAGCACTATCTTTCCCCTGCTTAATTTTTCTCCACTGTGTGTTGTATATAGTACCACGTGTCCGTTTCTCCATGTATACTATAGGTAGTATTAGTTGCTGTAGCTACCCCATGAACATGAGAACATAAGGCTACTGAGGGCAGTCTTCAGTTTTATAGGCAGTACCTGCTGTATAGTACATGCTTTTAAATGTGTTGAATGGAAAGATAGGTCAATATTGTAAACCTCTAATAATTCTAGCTCCTTTCTCTGGATATCCACCACATGTCAATGTCTTTCTTAAATGATCTTAAATCTTTCTTAAACATGATGATCATTGCCCTGGGCCATGCACAGTGCAGTAGAACTGCCAACTCTGAATCTAGGTATTCTGCTTATGTTCATAGAGCGTGTCCTGGCAGTCACTTGGGGTAGGGTGGGCATGAGGGATACTAGCATTACAATGTGCAGTTCTTTGTGAAAGAATATGGGTGTCCTTTGCAAAAAAAAACAAAAAGCCTGCAAAGAAGTCTACTGCATTTGAATGTACAGCCACAAGGATCCTTAAAGAAAAAACCAAGAGTTGAATTACTCTAATCAATTACTGGTATGCTTTTACTGAAGTCACCATTCATGCATACTCAGCACTGTATGCTAGGCACAGAGGAGAGGATACAAAAATAACATGTAAGTGAAGTGTGTCCCAAAGGTCCTCATTGTCAAAATAATCCACATAAGTAACTACAAATACCTGCTGCGAGGTGGTGAGTACCATAAGAAAGATACTGATTATTGCTCTAGTTGTTCAAGAGGAGACATGAGAGGAAAGCATTTGAGCTAAGACCCTAAGGTAGGATTTGGACATATTAAAATGCCTTTCTAGTATCTAGGCAGAAGGAAAAGCTTAAGCAGAAGAATGGATTTGGTAACCACAAGAAATACTAACTAATACAATCTGGCTGGAAGACATCTGGTAAATGAGAAAAGTAAAGACAAAAGATGAAAAAGGAATTGTAGAACCAAAACATGGAGAATTTTAAGTGCCAGACTGACAAACCTAGTGTGTAGAAAAAGAGTTACTGAAAGTTTCTGACCAGGAGACATAATCAGTCTGGAGTTTAAAGGATAGTTAGTGTGTATAATAAAGGATCCACACTGGGAAAGGCCAGCACAATAATCCACCCAAAATTACAGTAGAGGCTTGAACAAGTGGAGTAGCAATAGGAATAGAAAGGTGGGGAACCCTAAAAGATACTCTGGAGATTTTTAAAACTTATTTATTGGTTGAAAAGGCTAGAGAATGAAGCAGGGAGATCCAACCAGTCCATCCTAAAGGAGATCAGTCCTGAATATTCATTGAAAGGACTGATGCTGAAACTGAAACTCCAATACTTTGGCCACCTGATGCAAAGAACTGACTCATGGGGAAAAACTTGGATGCTGGGAAAGAGTCAGACACTACTGAGCAACTGAACTGAACTGAATTGAGAGTGAAATTGGAAAAGTAGACAGTGGTGGATGAGGTTCTTGAACTTTGGTAACCTCGTTGTGTAAGTAGAACCTCCAGGAAATGAGAAGCATGTTTGAAAGGAGTTTTACATATGGTATATTTCATTTGTGGTACTAAAAGGTGTTCGAGATTGCTCTCAGTATATGCAATTAGGGAGATGTAGGAGACATCCACAGAGGGGATCAATTGTGATTTTGGGAGGAGAGTATAGAGAGGCAATATGAACATGTAGATATAGCTATATAGCTATATTATGTATATATTATATATATAGCTATATATATATAGCTATATATATAGCTATATTATCTACCTATATTATATAGATAGATCCTTGATTATAGATACATATTATATATATATATATATATATATGAGGTATATATATCTCCTTGAGGTCTCTGAATGTCAAGAGGAGCTAGAAAAAGAAAATACTGTCTGAAAAATTTAGGGAAGTGTAATCCACTATGAAATGAAGGAACGTTAAGCTTGTATTTGATTTTTGTTTTTCATTCCTAATATTTGTGAGTTAAAATGGCTGAAATGAGGTATTCAGTAATTAAGAGACTCAACAGGAAATTCAGTAGTAGCCACAGGACTGGAAAAGGTCAGTTTTCATTCCAATCCCAAAAAAAGGCAATGCCAAAGAATGTTCAAACTACCATACAATTGCACTCATTTCACATACTAGCAAGGTAATGCTCAAAATCCTTCAAGGTAGGCTTCAACAGTATGTGAATCAAGAACTTCCGGATGTACAAGCTGGATTTAGAAAAGGCAGAAGAACCAGAGGTCAAATTGCCAACATTCGTTGGATCATAGGAATTTTTAAAAAAAATCTATTTCTGCTTCTTTGACTATACTAAAGCTTTTGACTGTATAGGTCACAACAAAATGTGGAAAATTCTTAAAGGAGATGGGAATACCAGACCACCTTACCTGTCTCCTGAGAAACCTGTATGCAGGTCAAGAAGCAACAGTTAGAACTGGACATGGAACAACAGACTGATTCAAAATTGGGAAAGGAATACGTCAAGGCTGTATACTTGTCACCCTGCTTATTTAACTTACATGCAGAGTATATCATGTGAAAGGCTGGGCTGGATGAAGCACAAGCTGGAATCAAGGTTGCCGGGAAAAATATCAACAACCTCAGATAATACAGATGACACCACCCTTATGGCAGAAGCGAAGAGCAAGTAAAGAGCCTCTTGACGAGGGTGAAAGAAGAGAGTGAAAAAGCTGACTTTAAACATTCAAAAACTAAGATTATGGCATCTGATCCCATCACTTCATAGCAAATAGAAGGGGGGAAAGTGGAAACAGTGACAGATTTTACTTTATTTGGCTCCCAAATCACTGCAGACAATGACTGCTGCCACGAAATTAAAAGACACATGCTCCTTGGAAGAGACACCACTTTGCCGACAAAGGTCCGTATAGTCAAAGCTCTGTGTTTCCCGGTAGTTGTGTAAGGATGTGAGAGTTGGACCATAAAGAAGGCTGAGCACCAAAGAATTGATGCTTTCGAACTGTGGTGTTAGAGAAGACTCTTGAGAATCCCCTGGACTGCAAGGAGATCAAACCAGTCAGTCCTAAAGGAAATCAACCCTGAATATTCATTGGAACAACTGATGCTGAAGCTGAAGCTCTAATACTTTGGCCACGTAATGTGAAGAACTGACTCATTGGAAAAGACCCTGATGCTGGGAAAGATTGAGGGCAAGAGAAGGGGGCAACAGAGGATGAGATGGTTGGATGGCATCATCAATTCAATGGACATGAGTTTGAGCAAACTCCGGAAGGTAGTGAGGGACAGGGAAGCCTGGTGTGCTGCATTTCATGGGGTTGCAAAGAATAGCACTTAGCAACTGAACAACAACAGGAAACACAGGAATAAAAAATTTTGAGCAAATGATCAAAAGGGTGCAAGTTTTTAATACTTTGTCCTATAATTATGTAACCACCTCTGCAACACACCACAAAAGGTTGGCTTCTGGAGTACTAACATATATACAATATATACATATATTCATACATATGTATATACTTATAAATACCTTGGAGCAAAATCTAGGAAAAATAAACCAGTCTTCCAGAAGTCTAGACATTTAATAAACCCCAATCTATCTACAGTGAGAAAGAAGGAGTCTCTACTGGCATTTCTTCTGTCCTTCACTTTTATTTTCATTCATACCTAATTTGTGTTCATATCAAAGCTTGCTGTGTGCCACACACAACATAGAAATGCATTTTCTTGTATGTATTACTGGTACACACAAGTACCGGTGGTATTATCCTTCAAGCACAAGCCTAAAATTGAGAGATTTAAGTAACTAGAACCCTTTAAATTTCTTTGACCCATACTTGAAACATCAGGTCTTTGCATTGAATATATTATTTTTAAGGAAATGTTTTATTTTAAAAATCAGAGGGATATTCGGCCTTCTATTGTTTCACTAGGTTGCTCTAGACACAAGCCTCCCTCGTCAAACTGGAATTTAAAGTACAACACATTCAAAAATTTTTTTAAGATTTTCATTTATTTTCACCTAGCCTTGAAGCACGTTATCGATGGTTTCAATTGGCGAAACAGTAGCTCTCCAGCCTTAGGAGTGCAATCCATCCTCAACCTTTGCAAACTGTTCACAATCCCTCGGCTCCATTTGGAAGAAAACCCCTTCTTTCCCTTTCCTTCCTGCCCGTCGTCCTCCCCTTCTCCAGACCCCTTCGGTTGACGTCCTAGCGTTGTGAATCGAGGCTGCAAAGCGGAGCCTCAGGGAGCTGGGCGGGGGAGAAGGGTTTGGATGGGCTGTCAAAAGGCGCCCTGCTCCGGCGGGGGAGAGACTGTGCGAAGCCCATCGCAAGCGCTGGGACCCGCGAGGACAGCGTTCCGCCAGGGCGAGGGTGACGAGGGAACCGGGGTCTTTTGCGTGGGCTTTACGCGCACACGTTGCAGCCACTTTAACCACCCTTCTCAGGTCGCTTCCCGCTTCTCCCCACCCTCCGAGGGACGTTGGTACATTCCCGCCGACTCAAAGAGCTTTAAAAGGGCCCTGGGAGGCTGAACCTACAAGGTTTGATCCTGATTTGTGTGCGCAGCGCGTACCCAGACCCAGGGCGGGTATCTTGGCAAGAGCTTCTTTACGCCGTGACCCTCGTGCATTAGGGGGCTTTGTGTCGCGTGTAACTGTCTAGCTAGCGCCTAGGGACTCTCGCCTCCGGCTCCTCGGCTCGCTCAGCTCCTCCTTCATCGCAGCCCCGCAGCGAGACGCGTGCCGCCAGTTTCTCGGGGGATGGAGCGGACCGAGGTGCTAAAGCCCCGCACCCTAGCCGATCTGATCCGCGTCCTGCACCAGCTCTTCGCCGGCGAGGAGGTCAACGTGGAGGAGGTGCAGGCCGTCTTGGAAGCTTACGAGAGCAACCCCGCCGAGTGGGCACTGTACGCCAAGTTCGACCAGTACAGGTGAGCGCTCTCTCGCCCGGCTCCCCGATGCTCCGCAGCGCCGGCCTCCCGGCCCAACGGCGGCCAGCGCGGGAGGAGGGGGTTCGACCGCCGGAGAGCGCAGGCGGCTCGGCGCCCGCCGCGCCCACCCTCGCGAAGCTCCCAGCCCGCTCCCGCACCCCAGCGCCGCGCCTCCATGTCCGCGAGCCCTGAGGCCTGCGCCCGGAGCTTTGGGCCGAAGGTGGGTCCCACTGGCCCGAGACTGCGACAGGCTCCCGGAGGGGAGGACACCGCGCGGCTGCAAGTTTTCTGTTCTCTTCTCGTTGATCGACCGCTCGGCTTCCGAACAGCCGCTCCTCCTCCAAACCTTGGCGTCCAGAGCAGTAGCCCTCCACCCCACCCCACCCCCCACCCCGCTCCGGAGCCTTCGCTAGCCTAGTCCGCGGAGGAGATGCGGGGAGCCCCTGGGGGCTGGACGCCCTCAGGCTCAGACTGGCTGGATTAACCCGGGGTGCTCCTAGGAGAAGGTCCAACAGCGGTCCGGAGAAAGGGGTGACCGTGGAAGACACAATTAAGCGACATCACTTCTCCCCCGGTAGCCTGCAACCAAGCGTCCGCCGGCAAGCATTTTTGCTAATATAAAATAACGACCTGGGGATGTCAGCTGCTATTTTTCAGTCTATGCTGATCCCTCTCCCAAAGCAAGTTGTCTCCGCCGACTGCGGGTTTATTTAAACCCACTGTTTGGTTCTCAAATGAGTGCTTCTCTTTCAGCCCCCAAGCAATATTCTGTTTCTTATCCTTTAGATCTGAGCGTCTGGAATGTAAATTGGAAACCCCTGCTCCTCAGCTGTGCTGGAGTGAGATGAACGGGTGGCTGCTCATTACAGCCCTGGCTTAGAGATTAAGTAAAATTGAAACATGAAGCACTACCAATCCCCTGGGGAGAGGAGTAAAATTTAATCACCCGGAAGAGTGAGGATTTCTTTTTCCGAAGGGTAGCCAGCGCTTCGGTCATAATGGTTGGTTGTGTTGAGGGTAGGGAGGGCTCTGGTCCTCTTCCGATCGCTTGGCACGTGAACTAACTTATTAGCTCGCAGCGGTTCTGTGAGATAGGTGCCATCGTCATCCCTGTTTTACAGGGGAGGAAGAGTAGGTGGTGAGAGGGTTGGATTACCTGCATAAGAACTAATGTCCAGGATTCAAATTAGCATTCTCGTTCCGGAGCCTACACTCTAAACCACTACTAAACTTCCTATAGACATAAGGTGCCATCATAGTTTTCTTTTGCCTAGATTTATTATTGACCAAGTGAAATCAATTAAGCAGGGTAGCTTGTAAGAGCTTTTAATCTGTAGAACAAGGGCCTTTCCAAGGCCTTGAATTTACCTTGACGGACAAGCTCGAAACCACTTGATACCTTTGGATTGACCTATTCCACAGGTTTCTGAAGCACCCCTCAGTAAGATAATGGGTGCAGTCCTGCAGTTGGAGGAGGGAGGGAGATGGGAGAACAGAAATCAATGCCATCATGGCCTTGGGAAGGCCAGTGCAGAAGAAGCAACACAGAGTAAGTGCTAGGCAGTAAATTCTCCGGAAGCAGCCCCAGCAAGAGGAGGACCCTAGGACTGGTGGAAGGAGACTGGGATCCCTAGTACAGAGCGTTTCCCAGGGTCAAAGGCTATGTGTGCGGCCCCTTGCAGATCATAAAGGGCTGCAAAGTAAGGATAACTGTCCTCTAATCCACTGATCAATCTCAGGGACCCTGCTTGCCAGCACTGGCCTCTAGCCCAGGGGAGGAGGGGGCACGTGGGGCACAGTGAGCAGATGACCATGTGAACAAACAAAACGGGATAAAGATTCCTTTCCTTAAAAATGAGTTTAAATAAATGCCTTAATTACCTAACTTTGTGAATTAGATGGCGTCAAGAGAACCTGCTAGACCAACAGAAGCTTTAAAGTTGATTTTCTGAGGTGGGGTGGTGTTCGTTTGAGATTTTTGGAGGCCAGTTGCTAATTTCTCTTCACTGTACAAGGTTTAGGGTATTATTGTACTTCACAAGTATAGTGACTTTTGTCCTGGTACTTAGGTCCCTCTGGAGGACTTTTCATTCTGATGCTTTTGAATGTGGATGTCATTTGTGTCTTGGCTGTAGTAAAACTAAGGAGAATTCTAGAACAGCTATTTAATAAAACCTTGTTTCTCAAATTCTGGTTTAGCTACAGGGAGGAGGAAAAAAGATAATAGCACCATTCTTGCTTAGAGCAGTAATGTACTTTGAAAATGCTTTCTGTGAGAAACTTTTATTCTTTTTATCAGTCTGTCACGTGAGAAATCAAAGAATTTGATTTTCTTTTTTGGTTACCTTTTTCATGCCACTGGTTGAAACTGAGCAGCTGTGAACAGTGATTCAAAATACAAAAACGTATAAAATGAACCATAGAAAAATATTTGTTTTCATTTGTGCTCAATTTCTAACTAGACAACCACATTTAAAGTCGCTGAGAGGTAAAAATATTAGCATTTGTAAATTAATGATACTGTATGACATTTTTCTCCTAGTGCTTGTCTCATCAAATAAATTCAAACTTCTGAAATGTTCTTTTTAGGTATACTAGAAATCTTGTGGATCAAGGAAATGGAAAATTTAATCTCATGATTCTATGCTGGGGTGAAGGACATGGCAGGTAAGACAACTGCTCGTTTGGATGTTTACTAAAGTACTTAGTCCAGCATATGAAAAGTATAGTGCAAAGTGGCCACGTGTCTGTGAGCACTAATAAATCAAAAATTGTTCACAGTGTTCCCTAATCCCAGCAAAACTTCTCATGGGAATTAGCATGAGGGGTTTAGCATATACCATGTATGAGAGACATGCTGCTCAAATGAGTGGTAAATCAAAGGAGGTGGTGGTAAGTAACCAGCTTAATTTAACCTCTGTGTTCTCTGGAGTTAAACTTTCTATGGAATTATGCTAAAACTTGACCTTTGTGGTGCTTTGAAGTGTGTAAACAATTGTCAGGCCAAAGACCAAAGCATCCAGATGTGAAACTAGAAAAGCAATTTGGAAAATTTTCTATTTCAAGCTGATTGTTTATTTTCTTTATATAGAGATTAGGTAACTTAGGCTAATACCAGTTCTTGGTTCCTTAATTTTCCCTCAGTTTATGCATTTGCAAGTCTTACTACCAATCAAGTATGATTACCTCTTTAAGTAGGTCCTCCTCAGTCTTTTGAAAATGGTAAAACAAACAAACAAATAATAATCCAGACCCATTGTTGGTACAAGAAAGGAAACATGAATTTATAAGATTTTGGAAAGTTAGGTTTATAGAGTGAGTTTACTTATCTATCTAGAATGAAGTTGTTTTCATCCTCTCAAAATTTTTTGAAAGCAGATTATATGTTAGGAGTAGGACAATGCTCTGTGAATTAGGAAGCAAGTTCTTATGGTACATATATAGGTTAACAGAATTCAACGTACGAAATAAATGCTGTAGTGTATACAGATTCATACCTTTTAATCAACCCTATAGCTAATACTACTTAATAAGCTTAAATCCTATTTACAGGAATAAACTCTTTCCCCAAATCCAATTTGCTTTTTTATTCTCCCATCAATATTGGGAAGTAATCACAGGATACTCTAAATCTATAAAATATTAACATTTTATATACTTTACAGTATAATTTTCAGTTGGTAACACACACATTCATACCTTTTGTCCTCCAGAAGAAAGAGAAAAAAAGCCTGAGGGGGAAAACACTGTCACGTGACCTTCGACCTTCTCAACGTGATGCTGTTATTACAGTTATTATCATTATTATCCTTTCTAAAATTACTCTAATGTAGTTTTTAAATCAAGTTCTAACTGAAAAGCTGTATCTTGGAAAAGATAAATGGTTACTGGTTTTGTGTTTCTGTTATCAAAATAGTTTTACAACAGGGTTTAAAAAAGTGAACTGTTCTTCAGTAGGGTTATGGATCAAAACTGTACCCCTTATATGCATCAACATGGAAAATATAGTGTTGTATTTCTTTGCCCTGAGCAATGTTGAATTATAAATTGATGAAATTTAGAAATCCAGCTGAAATGGATATTGGCCTGGGGAGGTATCCTACTGAGAGTTATAGCTGTAAGCTCTGGACAGACTGTTACAGGTCTGAGTTCATCTACTGAGTTCAGTTGTTGTTTTGTGTAAATATAGCAGTATCCATGATCACACCGACTCCCACTGCTTTCTGAAGATGCTGCAGGGAAATCTAAAGGAGACATTGTTTGCCTGGCCTGACAAGAAATCCAATGAGATGATCAAGAAGTCTGAAAGAATCTTGAGGGAAAACCAGTGTGCCTACATCAACGGTAACATCCAATACATTTTTCTAACAAGTGGGGAAAACCCTGCACACCCATCTGAAATATTGCTCTCTTACATTTGTGCAGTAGAGCATGGGTCCTGGAGGCATGACCTCATCTGCTTAGGAAGTAACTTAAAAGCAGTGGGTTTTCCTTTTTTTCCTTAAAGCTTTGCATGTGTCTGGTTGCACGGAGTTGGACATGACAGTAACTAAACCATCCCCATGTGTGGAAGGAAATCACTTATTAAAAACATATGCATGCAGGCTAGCATCCATTGAAGAGTCATTTACCTACCAAGTCTTAGGACAGTTAGAATCAAATAGGAATTTACATAAGGAGAGTCTTTTAATAAAGGTGAGAGGCCAAGTTGGAAGTATTAGTCTTTGGTTAGAAAATGGAAAGAAATGTTCTGGAAGTGATTAAGAATGCTAGCTAGTCCCTGTTTTCCTAAAGTGCATACAGTATTCTCAGGAGAAACTTTATGAAACACATTATTTAGCAGTGATTTCTAGATCTCTGACAATTCATTCTTTCTCCTGAATATAAAATGGGAGAGCTGAATGCCCTTCAGTAGAGGCAATGATTAACATCTGTGTTCCTAAAGGGCTTAGTAACTGCAAAAAGCTCCTCAAAGCTTCTATGAGATAACTTTTTTATTCCCATTTACAGATGAAATTGCCAACACATACGAAGATTAAGGTCACTCAGGATTTTAACACAAAGAATTTGATGCCAAAGCCCACACTCTTAGTTGGGATGCTATCCCACTTATCTAAAATAAAGTATTACAGAGGTTTTTCTGGCAAAACAAGTTCTTTCTTCTTAGGTACGTGGCTTAATTTTGTTCATTAGTTTAAGAATGCAAGTCACTTACAAAGGTCAGATTGTGTAGGAACTTTTCCCCCATTCACATAACACAAGGGGGTTAATTCTTCAAGTGGCAGGAAACTCTTATTTGAAGTGGACTTCCCGAGTGGCGCTAAAGAAACTGCCTGCCAATGCAGGAGACATAAGAGATGTGGGTTCCACTCCTGGGTCGGGAAGATCCCCTGGAGGGGGGCATGGCAACCCACTCCAGTGTTCTTGATTGGAAAATCCCATGGACAGAGGAGCCTGGCGGGCTACAGTCCATGGGGTCGCACAGAGTCACACACGACTGAAGAGACACACATACATACACATAAATAAATACACACACATAAATAGCAGGCACACGAGACTCCCAAGAGCAAGATTACCAGTACTCCTCACAATAAAGCCAAAGCCTTTCAGAATAATTACTTTCCTCTAGAATCACAGAGTCATTGTGAAGCTACATTAGATCTTGGGAAACACGTAAGATTTTTTTCAAGGGTCTTCAATGCAAGAGACTGGGAACTGGTGTGCAAGTGGTCCTGTCTAAAGGGACAACATGACTATCAGCTCCAGTGAGATCATCCTGACTTTTTCTGTAGAAGTGGGACATTCTGATTTTTTTTTTTGCTGCACCTCATGGCATGCCAGACTTCCCCGACCAGGGATTGAACCTATGTCTTGTGTACTGGAAGCTCACCATCTTTACCAGTGGACCAACAGAGAGGTCCTGGGAAATTCTTGATTTTTATGGGAAATTTTGCTAACCTGCAAAATACTGGATAAGCTAAGCTAAATATTTCTGTAGACGTATTACTCAAAAACCACAAACTTTTAACGTTTGAGTTTTACATGCAGGAGGAATGCTAGATATGGATAGTGATCAGAGGAAAGATGTTTCAAGTACAGGAAAGAACATGAGTGAAGGCACAACCATTGCAAAGAATGAAAACTATGCAGGGATGGTCTAGCTGGAAGGGAAGAAGAATGGACTTGGATAGGAATAATAGGAGAGTAAAGCTAGATCAGGGCCTTAGCCTCCAAGACAAACTTCGAGTAAGAGCTTTCTTTGGTCAGCAGAATTTTACTGGCAATGTCTTGATCAAGCAGTATGCATCACAGGGTGAAGGTGAGGGAAAATGGGGCAAGGAAATCAAGTTACCTGTCTTAATAGGTGGAAGGTGGACATTGCCTCGAACAAGCTGGCATCCATAAGTATCACTAAGAACGGTCTGGTATTAGTGTGACAGAGGGTATATCATTGGCAAAAAGGAAAGGAGGGAAAAACTAATAACAATGTTGAAATTACTAACATCAGGGATCAGACATGAGCACTGGGGGCTTCTAAAGAATGGGCGAGCTGCTTCTGTGGGATATTTGCTTGAAATTGGAGGGGAAAGGCAATCAGTTCTTCAGAATGTTTAACTTTTGTTTAAAATTAAGCCAGTGTGTTATAAAAGCATAGGCTATAAAATGGAAGGGTTTGCATATCTAAGAACTAAGCCCCATTTTTTTAAATGAGGAAGACAGAAGATCCTGGAAGTTCTGAGTTCTTCAAAGGTAGTCAGTCTAACTGGGAGTAGAATCAAAGTCTTCTGTTTCTGGGCTATGTTGTTCTTTGTCATGCAAGCTCCTGGAGCTAGATGTTAAAGCGTGAGGCCAAATTAAGTGCCCTAAGGAGAAGAGGGCGGCGGAGGATGAGATGGTCAGATAGCATCACTGACTCAATGGACATGAACTTGAGCAAACTCCAGGAGAGAGTGGAGCACAGAGAAGCCTGGTGTGCGGTAGTTCATGGGGTCACAAAACTCAGACATGACTTAGCAACTGAACAACAACTAACTGCACTAATACCCTGAACTTCTTCCTTGATTCACCTTCCAACGGTCTCTCTGCTATAGAAATTTCTTTATCCACAGGTATAAAAATACCATTTTGTTTATTTCGGTCTTCTTGAAGACACCTCCCCTGGGCCTTTTGACCTCCTTCAACGTGGATTGGCCGGCCAGGGCTCCCCCCGGGTCCCCTCACACCATCCAGGCTTTCCATTTCCTCTCTCCGGGCGCCTATTCCCTCGTTTCCTGATCTCATGCCTGCTTTCTCTGGGTTCACATGCTTGTTTTGGTAGCACAAGTCTTCCAACGGCCCTGTGAGAAAGGGTACATGGAAGATAAATTTTTGAGACCTCTTATATCTAAAAATCTCTGTCTTCAACCCTTATGAAATCATGACCTGGCAGCTGCTTTTTCTCAGAACTATAAAAGTAATCTCTTGTCTTTTAGTTTCCATTCTTCTTTGTTGAGAGCCTGGTTCCATTCTGATTCTTGAATATTTCTGTGAATCCTATTTTTTCTTTCTAGGAACTCCTGAGGCCTTCTCTTTGGGTGTCTTTTGATGCACTTTGTTTCATGACACTCATTGTGCTGGGATCTCAGGAGGTCCTTATGAGCTAGGAATTCACGTTCTTCAAAATAATATTCTCAGGTTGTTTCTTTGATTTTGCTATTGTTGTGTTTGTTTCTGAAACTACTATGGATCAGATATTAAACCTTCTGAACTAGTCCTCTGGTGTTTTGGGTTTTTTTTTATCTTCCCTATGTTCTATCTTTGGCCCTTTGTTCTTTGAGTCTTCACAGGTTTTTCTTCTAGCACTTCTATTCAGATTTTTATTTCTTCTCTTTATATCTATGAAAGCTCCTTTTACTCTCTAGGCCTTTTATGGCATTCTCCTCTTATCTCTGTCTCTAAGCACCAGGTGGCTTACAGGATCTTTGTTTCCCGACCAGGGGTTAAACTCAGCTCGTCACAGTAAAAGCACTCAGTCCTCACTCCTGGACCACCAGGGAACTCCCTCTCTCTTGTTTCTATGAGGATATTGATGTTTTTGGTTTTGTTTTTTTAAGCCTTCTCATGAGTCGTGTCTGTTTCACATTGCCTTTTTTTCAGGTTGCTCTTGCCTCTATTATACTAGAGGCTCTGCTCACATGTCTGGTGGCCTTGACTGTGTGCTAGCATTTAAAAACCAGGGACACAAAAGTTAATTGGAAGCTCTCACACATGGATGGTGTTTGTCAACTGGACTTCACTCTAGATCATCTGGTAAAGCTTTTCCTTGAGGACCAACCAAGGGCCATATCTTTAGGACTTTTTTCTTGAGCTGATCAGATTCTCAGAGAAACTGCTTCCCATCTCTTGTCTGGAGAAGAAATTCCCATCTGGCAGCATTTTGGCAATTTTGTGATGAAGAAAGTGGAGATCTTACCACTCAATGTGTAAATTTTCATTTTAGTCACCAGTTTTTCACTGAGTATCCACCAGTCCTGAGTTCATCTGCTTTACTCTTTCTAGAGAATAAATAGATCTCAGACTTCTACCAGGGTTAGAGGGGAGGGGAGAGAAACATGATGAAAAGAGTTTGAGGCTAAACTTAAGACAGACTTCAACTAGTTCTTATATCTGAAGCCCGTCTTTACCTTCATTTCAGGCAGTGTCTGTGCTGCCAGTCTCTGCGCTGTTTGTCAGTTTCAGGATATAAATCAGGTTATTTCCTGGCCATGTCCAAGTGTAACTGAGGATTTAGCTTTCTCTCCTCTGCAAAGTCATCCATCTACTTCTGTACTTTCAATTTTTTTAAGAGTTTTTTTTTTCACTTTAATAAAGACGTTTTTTTCTTTTCCTTTTATCTTTATATGTTGATGCCTTTTTAATTCTTCCACTTCAAGAAAGAGCATCTTCAGGAAAAAAGCAGAGGGTCATTTACTCTTTAACTGGAAGTTCAGTTATAACTAGTTTTTAATAATTCCATATGTATTGGTTGATTTAAGATTTGGGGTGATTAACAAAATTTTTACCTAAGTCTATCATCTAAGCCCCTTAATCTCTCATCCCTCTTGGATATTGTTTAGATTCCATTGGCTTACATCGAGTAGAGAATATTAGCCATACAGAGCCTGCTGTGAGCCTTCACTTGTACAGTCCGCCTTTTGACACGTGCCATGCCTTTGATCAAAGAACAGGACATAAAAACAAAGTCACCATGACATTCCATAGCAAATTTGGAATCAGGACTCCATTTGTAAGTATAATTTCTCTCTCCTATATTTGAATGCTTTGTAGATTGACAGCATTACATAGATACATTGCTTTTTTTTGTTCTAGATATTATTTGAATTATTTAAACTCTTAAGTTGAAGTATAGGATGAGCCTTAACTTGGGGAAAAGGCCTGCTATATATTCTCTTACTTTCTTTAATTTCAGAGACTATACTTCCATTCATTAAAAAGAAAAAGCTTAAATTAGATGCAAAGAATTGATTATTGAAAGATTTCAAAATTTATACTTATTACTAAAGAAAATATCTTATCATCATTAGGGAAATAAGAGTGAGAACTATATTGATAAATCTGCTGCTGCCATGACTTAATGTCCATAGGTCCAATCTGCTGAGACAACACAAATAACCTGCGTAGTTAACCTTTGCAAAGTTGAGAGCCTATTCTGATAACGTGAATAAAGAAACTTGCCTGTTTTGCTTCCCAAGTTGCTTTGTCTTTGAGTGGTGATGGCAACCAACAGTAACGTGGTATGGCCGTCTTCTACCTGTGAAGTCACTTCAGCTGACGGATCTTTAGTTAGTCATGGGAGTGCCCAGAAATGCACAGTGCATGAAAAGACTGAATATCCTTAAACATCTTATGAAAGTACAGCCTTTGCGAGAAGCCAGGGCAGAATTCTCTCAACTGATTGCCCTGCTTTATTTCCTGCATTCCAGTCCCCAAGAGATAGATACTCTTATCACAGGAACAAAACAGCAGAAGCTTCATTGCCATATACTGAATTTTCAAACACTGCTAGAGAAGCAGAACTACTTAGAACAGGCAGAAATGTCTGATGTAAAGATCCTACCCTGCTTGCTTTCTTTCTTACAGGCAACTTCAGGATCACTGGAGAACAACTAGGGAGCACCAGACCCTCTGAGGTTTTACTTTAAGGTCCAGTGAAGTTTCACCTTGGACAGGAAGGTCTCTACCACTTGCCTGTCCAGTAATACACTTTTCAAGGCCAATATTAGATCTACCATAAGGCAGATGCTAATTATAAGGCAGTAAGTAAGCAAATAGTGCCCCGAGCTACTATAGAAGAAAAATCCCATTAAAGATAAAAAGGCTTATGATTGTAAAGGTCAAATCAAGCTCCACTCGTTTTTTCCTGCTAAACCCATCAGAACCATATTAGGAATGTCAATGATGGTTTTTATAGTTTCTGGAAACACTTTGGTCTCCGGATTGTAATTAGCAATAAATAAAAGCAAGATATCAAACCGCCCACCTTGTTACTTGGAAGGCTAAATGTAGATGTCTTCAATATACTTTGTATGTTCTTAATATTTGAGGAGAACTTTTTGAATCTGTGCATTTTATTTTTTCAATCTTATTGTACGAATTCCTGTTCTATAAATAATAGGGTAGTAGGTAGAGAAACTTAAGGCACTTTGCCATTTGGTAATTAAATGAAGGGCAGAAGATTTCAAAAAGTACATGTACCCAAACCTGCAACAAACTAAAACTATGAACTCAATGTCTAATGTATCCAGTGGTCAGAGACTTTGTACTGCTGCCAAAATTGCCAAATACTTTTAATAAAGTTGGGTTTGAACATAATTCAAAGTTTTCTTTCTCTTTAGCTTGATCAGAATTTCATATGATTCATGGCTTCTTAGATTTAGGTAGACTACCAAAAGCACTGCAGAAGATGCTTTTATGATATAAGAATATAAGAAGGCCTAAAACTGCATTCAAGAGGAACTTACCTTTGGGGTTTTTTATATGTGTTCACCAACTGTCCAGAGATAGCAACCCAAGGGTCTCTGGCCCTAGGGCAGCTCATAGACATGATCAGTTTTGCCTGAAAATTGTCTGTGGGGTCTGCATGTGTTTATATATGAATTGGATTTCAACAGTTAAAAACTGGGGATTTCACGGAAGGAGGAATGGACTTTGAAGTATCTGGCAAGACTGGACCTGCACTGCACTTTCACTGATAGCAGTTAACCGTGCTGGGATCTGCCCCTTGGATGGGGCCGCCTCCCCCATCTGTGGCAATCCCCATTTTGCCTGTTTCCTTTGTGTGTTTCCTGCAAAGCCCACTCATGCCTTTGAGTTTGCTGCCCCCACTGTAGGCAATTTTCTTACGAATAGCTGTCATAATCATGGGTTTTGTTATCTCTGGTAACTGAATTAGAAAGTAAACTCCTTTGAAGATACTTCTGATTAGGCCATTGATTGTGGAGTCTCACAGAATTATTTACATCTTTATACCTTTGCTTCCTCTCACTTTTGAGAAGGACATTAATGTTTACTGACATCAGTGTCTAGTTGGTGCTGGTGGTAAAGAATTCACCTGCCAATGCAGGAGTTACTGGTCCAATCTCTGGGTTGGAAAGATTCCCTGGAGGAGGAAATGGCACCCCACTGCAGTATTCTTGCCTGAAAATTCCATGGGCAGAGGAGCCTGGTGGGCTTCAGTCCACAGGGCGGTGAAGAGTCAGATGAGACTGAGCATTTAAAATATACTTGGCGTTATTATCAGTTGCTAAGATGTACTAACAAATTGAATTCCAGAAAAATCTTCCTTATGAATTAGACACTGTATTGATTTCATTCTGCTGCTATAACACTACCACAAACTCACTTTCCTACAGCTAGCTCTGTTGGTCAGAAGTCAGAAGCTTCATGGCCTCATGTGCAAGGCCCATGTCAGAGGCTTATCTTTTGGTGTGGGTTCAGTGATCATGTACTTGGACGAACTGGTTGATGAATGAAGAGCTTTTACCTGTGTTTCATGTGAAGGGATAGCAGTACATTTAGTAATGGTGCTTAGTCTTTTTTTTTTTTTTTTACTCCTACCACTTTGAAATCTCAAACGCTAAAGAAGTCTCCAGAAAGACCAGCACACAACAGATTTGCTTACAGTTTCACAAAAGATTCCTAGACCCTGTGAAGGCCCTTAGAAGCCCCATTTAAGAGCTTTGCCACGTATGAGGCTTTCCCAAGGCTCATGACAAACGGTGGCTATTTCACTTCATTTTCTGAGCAAGCTGGGTTACTAGTTAACCTGTGAAAGTTACAGGGAGGTTTCTAGGAATCACCAGAGGTTGATGCTACCTTGTCTGAGGCACATCCATGTAGTTCACAAGGTCAGTTCTCTCTAAAGACATGAAAAAATGCAGTCTTTCACAACTTCAGTTATCTAGTTTGTAGGTATTTAAAGTGTATGTGGGATAGTGAAATAAGTCAGACACAGAAGGACAAACAATGCATGATTCCACTTACACAAGACGCCTAGAAAAGGCCAATTTACGTAGACAGAAAAGGTAGCCTAGAGGTGACCAGAGGCTGAGAGGTGGGGGGTGGCCAGGAATGAGAGTTACTGTTTAATGGGTCCAGAGTTTCTGTTGGGCGTAATAAAAATCACTTGGGTATAGATAGTAGTTGTGCATACATAGCATTGTGAATGTATTTGGTATCACTGAATTGAACATTTGTGTATAGTTAAAATAGTAAAAAAAAAAGTGTATGTGGAAGTAAAGTTTGTGTGTGTTGGAATAGGTGAGACTTCCTGCCATAGAGAATGCAAATGAAATGAAAAGCATGTGGTGAAAAGTATCTTTTTCACCCCATCCTCAGGCTCTCAGTTTTCCTCTCTCGATGTAACCTGACCACTCTCCTGTGCTTCCTCATTTACTTGTCCCCGTTACTTAGACACAGGGTAGCATTCTGAAGTCCATATGGTGCATTTACAAGGAGACTTTTCCATAGCCAGATACAAGCAGTTCCCTCACTTTGCTGATGGTTGCCTGTATGGTATTACACTGTGTGAATGTACCATAGTTTAATCCACTGGTCCTCTGCTGATGGACTTTGAGGTGATTTGTAACCTTTTACAATCACAAACAATTCTGCAATGAGTAACCATGTATGTGATGTCATTTCACAAATATCAGTGGGCATGTCTTTATTACAAAACAACCGCGATAACTCAGCCCCAAGAAATGAGGTAACAGTGGAAGGTCATGGCAAGCCACCCTAACTGGAGAGGGCCCCTCAGGTGTTGAACTTATCACCTGATGTCATCACTGTTCAATTCAGCCACTTCCACATGTTCATTGGTCAAGTGTATTCACGTTAAGCCTCCAACTGTCAGAAGCTTGACACAGAGAGATTCCTTATCACCAGCAGGAAAACCTGCGTTTTGTGAACAAACTGGTGACCAATGTAGGCCTCTGCCCGTGCAGATCAGAGAGCTGACCCATTCCTGAAGTTCTGTTTTTGTTTGCTTTTTCACTCACTCCCCTTGATGAATGCTTCAAGATGTGACGGCTTTCTGTGCTTTTGAAAACATCCTTCAGTTTGCTTAATGAGGGCCATTTAACTGCTTCTTGAGTAATTCACAAAGAGATGTAAAGAATCTCAGAGGCTGAGATCTTCTGAATGTGATTTTGAGCACTGATTTAAGCCTCAGTAGCCTGAGGGGACCTTCTTATACAAGCTCAAGGAGATGGCCATCTACTTGACATGTTTATGTCTGTATATCATATGATAGAGTGGGATGTATATTTACCTAAAAATGCGACCAGAAAAATTCCTTGCACATGAGGGGTAAAAATATAGAACTAGAAAGCAATCTACTGCAACTGAAAAGATTGATTAGCCTTCCATTCCATGGGCCCTCCTGGGCATGTCATAAGAAGAAAAAGTATCATTACAACAATAGATCACTGCCATACACCTTTCCACAAATGAAAGTATGATTCTAATGAATTTATGCAGGATTCATCTAACCGATAAATATAAAATAATGCTAGCATGAAATCATGAAGATGAAATGAGTGAGCATATTGCCAAACAAATCTTTTGATAAATGAAACTGAGGCAGTTGAAGTTAGGGTTAACCACTGCCCAGAGCAGCTTTGTACCGGAGTAGGTTCACACAGCCCCATGGGAGATGGTACGGAGAAATTTCACAAGCTGACTGATAGATTAAAATTAACAATAATGGGAATATTTACACTGTGTCAATCTGTCAATACTACAAGTCCGTGTAGGTAGTTCTCTATCTTAAGAGTCTGTTAAATATTTGAGAGCATACCACTATATCTAAACCTATTCAGTCAATTCAAAATAAAGACAGGGTTTGCCCGGACTATTTAAATATACATTTTAATCCTTTCATTGTTACTGGTCTTTTGCATGCATAGAAAAATGTCACTTCAGAGAACTCCTTTAAATTGAGACAGAGCTATTGTTTCTCCCCTCCCCATGTCAAAGATGGGGACATATAAGCAGACGTAGATAAAATAGTTTACCCAAGGACACACAGCTAGGTAATGGAAAAAACAAAATAGACGTTGGCTCTGCCCGGGACACATTGAACCTTTGGCAAAAGAGCGAAACTATTAAGCAGGAACAGAAAGTTAATATGCAATGGTGGTTCTGTGGCTTTCCTATCTGTCAATTGGTTCTTGACTTCATAGCTAAAAAAAAAAAAACAAATACTCAGAAGGTACTCAGGCTGAAAGGGACAATGAAAAGTGAAAAAGTGAAAAATTGAAAGCGTCAGTCACTCAGTTGTGTCTGACTCTTTGTGACCCCATGTGCTGTAGCCCACCAGGCTCCTCTGTCCATGGAATTCTCCAGGCAAGAGTACTGGAGTGGGTAGCCATTCGCTTCTCCAGGGGATCTTCATGACCCAGGGAGAGGGACGGTCTTGCCCCCTAAGTGGATCTGAATTAATTATCCTGTGATAACACAGCCCGGGAGGGAGTTGTGCTTCGCTCCTGCTTGTCTGACGGAGTGAGGCCATCTTCACCGGGACTGGTCACAGCTGTACTCTATGACACCAGACCAGTGTTCCAGGTTGTTTTCATCAGGACTCTCAATTGCAAGTGACAACATGTGAC